AATAAAGAAATTTCATAAAATATCCTAAAAGCAAACACCCCTAGATACTTACATATTGTCTCTTACCACTTCAAGCTTTTATCATGCAGTAGTTATTTCTTGTATAAAGAGTTTGTTGAATGTACTTTTGCCTACAGAACTATTAGGAGAATATAAAGCTTGATCAACATTGCTTTAATTTTATCAAAGCTACCAGTCCTCTCATTGCTCCATTTCTTAGAATAAATGATTTAATTCTTATTTGAATTCTTAAGTGATTTATTTGGAGCTTTATTTTTAGCTGCTAGCTTGAAGAAAAGGAAATGCAAATGTCCTCATTTTCCTAGTATTTTCCAGAATATATAGTAAGAAGCCAATAAATGAAGTATAGATAAATTCATAAATGTCATATCATGATTAAATTATTCAATATCAGATTTTATTTTTGTAAAACAGTTGACAAAATAATTTCTTAGAAGCTATGGATTTATTCTAGGTAACAAAAACTGAAAATAGGAAGAATACACAAAACAGCAAAAGTATAAGTTTACAGAAGAAGAAAAAATTAATTTGTTATATTAACTGTGGCAACACAGCCATGTGGGCTCTGAAAATGAGTAGAGATAGAAATCAATGTCATTTCCTCTGCCACTGAGAGGATGTATCTCTTATCAGAAACTATCAATGGCAACAACTAAAACAGCAAAAAGTTAAGGGAATTTTTAAATATGAAGCTAATAAGTACACATTATCTTATATGACCAAAGCTTCACCTATATCCAGTGATGAATTTATTACTTTACAAATCTCCTCTAAAAATAAAAAAAGTTATTTGAGAATTTTAAATAATGTGTTTTGATTACACCCACTTATTTTTTCAGATCCACTTTTCTGGAACCGCCCACACAACTTTGAGTCCTTTTAAAAACAAAACCCAAACCAAAATTATCATGTCCAAATATTATTATATATGTGGCCTCCCACTGGAGCCTAATTAACTTATCAGGAGCCACACTCTTAGAGAAAATTAATTTCCTCTCTCAGATCTATCAATTGCCAATAGCTCCACTAGTAGGCTAGGATTTCATGCCCAGCTCCACTTTTCATGTTGGTATTTGATCTGGCTTAGACTTGTATGGGTCTTGTGCATGCTTTCAAAACCATTTTGAGTTAATTTGTGTAACTGTCCTGCTGTGTTTGGAGAACACTGTTTCCTTGTAGTCACACACCATGTCTGGCTCTTTAATGATTTCTCTCCACTCTTTGGGAAGGGACTCTGAACCATGTGAAAAGGGGGGCGTGATATTTATTCCATTTAGGGGTAGCATTCTTTAATTTATTATTTTCTTTCATTTGGCTTATTGTGGGTCTTGGAGTTAATCACTATTTACTGCACACAGATATTTCCCTGATGAGGGTTGAGAAATGTATTGATCTAAGGGTATAAGAGAAAAAAAAAGGAGGTACTCCTGGAAACTAATGAGTCCCAAGGTTACATCATGTACCTTTTTTCCCTTTTGTATAATGTGACTTTTACTTGTCACATAATTTTTGTTTCAAATCCTTACTATAATATTAAAATAATATTACTAAAACAGAAAATATATTAAAATAGTGAACAAATAATATTAGTAAATATTATTATAAATAATAATATAAAATAATATTAGTCAGGCTGTCTATTCCTTTTAGCTACCTAATAAAAGGCAAATGTCTACCTTTTGATTAGTGAGTTGTAATAGTATGTGGACATCTATCAGTGACTTTTTTTTGGTTTTTTGAGACAGGGTTTCTCTGTGTAGCTTTGGAGCCTGTCCTGGCACTCACTCTGGAGACCAGGCTGGCCTCGAACTCACAGAGATCTGCCTACCTCTGCCACCCGAGTGCTGGGATTAAAGGCATGTGCCACCAATGGCCGGCGTGATTCTGTATTCTTAAATAGATAAATATGTGCATGTACAATATATGATATATGATGATTTCCATGGTTACTTAAAGTGACACAAATGAAAGTCTAGAGATAAGATATATCTAATAATTCACTGTGCAAATGTTTGAAAACAGGCCACTAGCTTCAGTGTGTAATATTCAAACATCTTTGAAAGCTGAACACACATCTCATGATTTCCCCTGAGCACTGTGTATTAGTATAAATTCAGAATGTGACAAATGTTCAAAATAGTTTTGATAAATAAGAGTAAGGTATTTTTCTGTCAGATATGAAATATATTTTTGACAAAGGTGTAGGTAGTTGGTGAAGTCATAATGCTTACCATGAGTTATAACACAGGAAAAAGGGAGTCATGGGAAGTGGATGGTCTATTTATGCAAAAGAACTATAAAGTAATTGGATGCAAATGAGGAAAAAATACCTAACAAAAGAAGCAAAGGGATAATAAGCATGATAGTTTACTGTAGCAAAGATTATTTTTTAAAAGGCAAAATAAAAGCACAATCAGTAGTCATTTATTAGGAAAAATAATACAAACAAATCTAAACCTTGGTGAATATGTTAATCAGCATGAAATCATGACTGAGCCAACGAGGAAACTAACCTAGGGGAGCTTTCTATCATTGTACTGAGAATCATCATCACATTTGCTTCAGCCTTTCCATGAAGGGTCATCGTCCACCCAGGGAAGTCACAGGGTAAATGCTGAGAACTTTTATTGTGCCCGAATCTTGCATCCACTGTTAGATGGTGTTTACAAATTAGAAGTTAATAAAGGCAAGAGCACAAAGGGGGCAAGTAAGGAAAATCAGCTTCCTGTAGAACACTGAGAGAGCAAGTGCACAGCAATTATGCCCACAGACAGTCCCCAACTTGACAAAAGTAGGCTTGAAACTTTTCTTCATTCAAACTTTATTGTGGCATTATTCCATAAAATAAGAAGCCTTCCTGATCACTCATGTTCTCCTCTCCCTCCCCTTCTCCCTCCTTTTTCTTATCTCCGTCCTCCCACCCTCATGTTCCCAATTTACTCAGGAGATCTTGTCCCTTTCCCCTTCTCCAGGGATCATGTATGTCTCTCTTAGGGTCTTCTGTGTTTCCCAGCTTCTCTGGGGTTGTGGATTGTAAGCTGGTTATCTTTTGCTTTGTGTCTAATACACACTTATGAGTGAGTAAATACCATGTTTGTCTTTCTGTGTCTGGGTAACCTCACTCAGGATGGTTTCTTCTAGTTCCATCCATTTCAAGATTTCATTGTATTGTTTTGTTTTCCACTAAGCAGTACTCCATTGTGAAAATGCACCACATTTTTGTTATCCATTCTTTGGTTGAGGGGCATCTAAGTTGATTCCAGATTCTGGCTATTAGAAATAATGCTGCTATGAACATAGTTGAACAGATGTCCTTGTGATATGAATGTGCATCCTTTGTATATATGCCTAAGAGAGAAATTGCTGGATCTTGAGGTAGACTGATTCCCATATTCCTGAGAAACAATCATTCCGATTTCCAATGTGGCTGTACAAGTTTGCATTCCGACCAGCAATGGAAGAGTGTTCCCATTTCTCCACATCTTCTCCAGGGTAAACTGTCCTTGGAGTTTTTGATTTAACCATTCTGACAGACTCTGACAGGTATCTCAGAGTTGTTTTGATTTGCATTTTCCTGATGGCTAAGGATGTTGAGCAATTTCTTAAGTGCCTTTTGGGCATTTGACATTCCTCTATTAATAATTCTCTATTTGGATCTGGATCCCATTTTTAATTGGAATATTTGGTGTTTTGGTGGCTAGTTTCTTGATTTCTTTGTATATTTTGTAGAATAGCCCTCTGTCAGATGTGGAATTCAGCAAGGCCAAGTTGGGAGAAGAACAGAGAAGGACAGCAAGGAAAGAGATACCTTAATAGAGGGAGCCATTATGGGCTTAATGGGATGTCTGGCACTAGGGAAAACTCCAGGGATCCAGAAGGATGACCCAAACTAAGAATTTAAGGAATAGTGGAGAGGCTACCTTAAATGCCCTTTCCCTATAATGAGATTGATGACTAAATGCAGCCTTCATCCAGGAACTGATGGAAACAGAAGCAAAGATTCACTGCTAAGCACTGAGCTGAACTCCTGGAATCCAGTTGTACAGAGGGAGGAGTGATGAGAAAATGGGTCAAGACCATGCTGGGGAAACCCACAGAAACAGCTGACCTGAGCAAATGGGAACTCATGAACCCAAGTCTGAACCTAAGCAGGTCCCCGAACGTGGGTGTGTGTGGGGCAGTCTATGGGGCTTCTTGAAGTGGAACCAGTATTTATGCCTAGTGAATGAATGGTTTGGGGGAGCCCATTCTCTATGGAGCGGTACTTTCTCAGCCTAGATATACAGCGGAGGGCCTACGTCCTGTCCCAAATGATAGGACAGACTTTTATGGTCCCCCATGGGAGGCTTCATCCTCCCTGAAGAGTTGATGGAAGGTTGGTGGGTTGCAATGGGAAGACAGGAGGAAGAACTGAGGTTGGTATGTAAAATAAGGCTGTTTTCAATTTAAATGAAAATTAATTAAAAATCAAAAAGCATCTGGACTTTTAGTGAGGTGAATTATAATTTTTCCGTTGATGGGAATGTGTTTGCTGAGATTATTGCCATCACAAGTCAGAGGGTATTTGTAATGAATAGCACCCTTTCAGGGACAGATTTGTCACCAAATAAACCAGCATGAACTCTATGGCCAAGTCAAAGAAGAACTTCAGAGCATGGAGAAACATAGGGTCGTGATATATATTCGTATATGTAAACAAAATTGCAGAGATGAATATAATGAATATAATGTGTTCATTCATTCATAAACTTCAGCCTAGTGCTTGCAAACAAGCTTCTCCACCTCTTTCTATCTATTTTCATTTGTTAGAATTAATGAAGATTCTGTCGGGACTGTCTAAACATTTTCGATTTTCATGCACATGCAACCTGATTCAGTGCAAGGCTGAATGGTTTCCGTAATCATGACATCTGTGTGCAGGCCCTTGGGGATCTAGGTTTCATTACCTTCTTTGACTTATTTATTCCCTTTCCTTCCAGGTGAAAGTGTGGTTCCAGAACAGGAGAATGAAGTGGAAGCGGGTCAAAGGAGGACAGCAAGGAGCTGCAGCTCGGGAAAAGGAACTGGTGAATGTGAAAAAGGGAACACTTCTCCCATCAGAGCTGTCGGGGATTGGTGCAGCCACCCTCCAGCAGGCAGGGGACTCACTAGCAAATGATGACAGTCGTGATAGTGACCACAGCTCGGAGCATGCACACTTATGATGTATACAGAGACCAGCTCCATTCTCAGGAAAGCACCGTTGTGATGGCAAGCCTAACCCAAACATCGTTTACATGGCAGATGACTGTGGCAGTGTTGTTTAATATAATTAAATGCAGGCATCTCCAGTCTTGTTTCTCATGATTGATAGGTTTACACGAAGTGCCTCTTATGGAAGATGCTTCCTCAGTGAAATTGGAGAAGGTTAACGTATTCCAAATACATTTGTTCTATATATGACAGAGAGGGAGATGAGTGTTTGCTTTGGCGTTCACAGAAATTTAAATTGCTACCAAGAGCAAACTTGATATGAAGTTTTAATCAAGATGTCTCCAGAGTGAAGATGTTAAACATAAAAATGGTTGGAACTTTTAAGTTGTACTAGGTCATGTGTGTGACATTGGGCAGGTATTTGCTTTTGCTTGCACTGAAAATTAAACTGCTATTAAGTTAACCCATGAAATCGTTCATCCTGAACAGCCACAGTGCCTGAAATCACCAAGTGGATAGAAAATGTATTCAAACTCTGTATATACTACCCCTAAATCACTTTCCTGTCTTCACTAATTTTAGCAAATGCATTCATATAGCTAATGAAAATAGGCTTTCCCGTTAAAACCATGGCCAGCTTTTTGTATTTTTATACATCTTTGTCAGTCAGAGACAATGAGTATGTGCTTAATTGTGTTCAATAGATAAAATGAAGTAGAGTCTGGTAGGACATATTCTTGTACCACAGACAAAACAAATCTTCTGTTGCATTTACTATCAACTGCTGCTGACACATTATAGAACATACCCAGCCCCTCAAGCCTTCTTCTCATATAGCTTGGAAAACCTTAGGATCATAGGCAAATCAGTTACCTTGCAGAAAGAGTCTTGTGTGCCAAATGTCTGATTTTGTATCTTTAAATGGTTAGTGCTTATGGATATGATTCAATGAACAGGGAAAAGGTTTCTGCCTCATTGTTTATATCAAACCAAGTGCCAAATCAAATTAATTCTTCAAGACAATAGATGAGAAATTCTGTATGTCTGAAATTTAGACTCAGCAAAAATATATTATTTTTCATATGCTCTATATTCATGCAGAACAAGCCTTTGTATTTTGTAAAAAAATGTTGAATAAATGACCCTTCAAATAATAATTGTCTCCCTATTGTGACTTCATTTGTTTGAATAGACTTATCTATTTATCTGTAACCAAGGCTGGTCTGGAACTCTTTAGGTAGTCCAGTTTTATTGTGGTCTCACAACAAATTTTTGCCTCACTCAGCATCCTGGGTTTTGGAATTACAGTATGGAACCACTGCAACAAGCTATTTTTAATAGATTTTTAAACGATATACTTAAATTTTCCATAATTTTTGCTTCCTTATAAATCTAAATGGTTGTTCCATCATTTCTGAATGTTTATCATGGCATAAAAATAATCCATAGGTAACCAAATAGTTTCGAAGACCATGAATAAACTAGAGAGTTTGGTAAATGAAAAGGTAATGTATTTTAATGGCTATGGTTGATTTCAACAGTAATAGTAATAATAATGCATTCCAACATATGCATTAGTCCAATAGTTTTATTTTATAATTTTTTATTTTCTCAGTATTTAGTGTGAAACCCAAAGACACATCCATGCTACGTGCATCCCCTATTATTTGTCTACCTGCCTAGCTCGCAAATAGATGTTTTACATTCATATTATCCAGACTTTGGCATGAAATATGAAATAAACAAGCTAAATAGAACCCCAAGTTCTAATAGATATTGCTGATGGAAGTAATAGAAGATGACTCAATGCAAATTTAGTGTCAAAGTCCTATTTATCACTTTACTGCTTTGTCTTTGGTTTGCTGTTTGTTTCACCCAGAATAGTTAAGGATTTACCAATGTATCCCCCAGCCCCATTCTCAATTATTATAAAACAGTCAAAATTGCCCAAAACCACCATCGTGTGATTGATTTTATTTCCTTTAGATAGCTACACTAATAAAAATATACCCAATTTAATTTAACTTATCTTTAATGTGATACTGATAGTATTCTGGGAGCAAAATGAACAACTATGTTATTTGTGTCATATTTTTTCTTTGTGCAAAATATTTATCTCATTAAACATCAGCATTTCAGAATTAACATTGATGAAGAGCTCACTAAAGTTTGTTGTTAGAAGTGACTAAAGAGCACACTGAATTTTGTTATGAACAAAAGCTTTTATATCAGAATTATAGTTTACTAGGACAAGGAAATAAAGGGAAATGATTCTCTATGCACTAGACATTCAAAAATGAAATGAAGAAAGTGCAAGATGGATTATACCTTTATTGGAGCAGCCCTTAAAGGAAACATTGAATCCAGAGAAGCAAACAAGTATGAAAGGTCATGTGGCTGACCAAAAGTACAGTTTGTTGTCATGGATTCAAATGAGCCATTGGAGACAGAAGTTCACAGTCAACACTGCAACAAATGGCTGAGCAACACTTAAAGAAATGTTCAACATCCTTAGCCATCAGGGAAATGCAAATCAAAACAACTCTGTGATTCCACCTGTTAGAATGTCTAAGATCGAAACACAAGTAGCAGCTAATGCTGGAGAGGATGTGGAGTGAAGGGAACAATCCTCCATTGCTGGTGGGAGTGAAAACTTTACAACCACATTGGGAATCAATATGGCAGTTTTCAGAAAATTAGGTATTAATCTACCTCAAGGCTCAGATATACCATTCTTGGGAATATACCCAAAGGATGCTCAATAATACCACAAGTACACTTGCATTATTATGTTCATAACAGCATTATTCATAATAGCTAGAACCTGAAAACAACCCAGAAGCCCCAAACTGAAAAATGGATAAACTGAAAAATGGAAAACGTGGTATGTTTATACAATGGAGTATTACTTAGTTTTTGAAATTTTTCTGTTTTGATGGTTCAGCCCTTAAAGGCTAGATTCAGAACCATAGTTATTATGCATTTTTATAATTATTATACCTTGACAGTTAAAATGCTTTAAAATTCTTTAAATATATACCAGAATAAACATGTTCTTGCATATCTGATCGTTCCCTCAAAAAGCTGACCTTGTTTTATTCAAGTCTAATTTCAAATCATAGTAAAAAACTCCAGGCAAATTTTTAGTACATTACAAAGTATTTAGTAAAACCTTGGTGAAATGTGATTTATTTTATTCAGAATGGGTTTTAGAAATAGTTCCAAAATTAGAATGGCTCAATACATCAATTTTTTTTGTCACAAGTACTTCATAGTGTCATTGTTATACAACATCTTGGTAAGGGAGTGAGGTAATCTACAGCAATCTTACATTCAGGGTAGCCTTAATATTTCTTCTCTTTTTAGGTACGTCACAGAGATAAGCATATATATTTTCGTTAAAGTGTAATCACAGGGCTTAGAGATGCTTATATTTTCTCACCCTCTCTTTTTAACATACTAATAGTTGAAACATCATCTATTATGAGTTTTTTTTAACTTCGTGGATACAGTTTTTAAACACATCATTCCTTACCTTAAATTGATGAAATGTTAAAGACAAACATTTATTATGTTATTATGGCTGAGCTATTAATACTAGTTCAGTGATTTCTTTGACTTTCATTTTATTTAGTGCAGAATTCAATTATCTTTGGATTTTCCAACATTAGAGTATGGCAATATTTTATGGTCCCATATTTATATGGTCTAATATGGTAGGTTTATGACTAAAAAATACAAAAAGTTGACAGAGAATTGTTATGTACTACAAGCAAATCCATCTACAGTTGAGACAAAACTGAGTGATAGATTGAAAAAACTAAAAAGATACTTTGGTAGGATCCTTGTAGTAAACTTTCTTTGATTGCAGTGGGAGCAAATGTGAAGAAGAGTGTGAGATCAAACTATATTTTTAACAAAACATTATTTATGCCTTAGAAAGATAAAGCAGCAGCCATGAACAAATATAAGTCTTTATAATAAAATCCATTATTTATTTAAAATTTTCCAGTATATGAAAATCTATTGCTGTAATGGAAGCCAAATACAAAAATTTAGACAATTATATGTTCCTTATGAACATTTTAGTTTTTAAAGTATTTATCTTAAGATTGAACACAAATTTAAACATATGCTACATTCCTGAAAGAATGACCGTGCTTGTGTATGTATACATATTATTTTGGTATTGCAAAGTTAATCAAACAAATTTTCCAAATGACATTGCTTAGATTTTCTGGAACATCTTTATGTATTTATGTCAGTATTTCACTAACAGTCATTCTAAGTCATCCCATACAAATGCACTGTTTCTATTTGGTGTTCTTCTCGGTTGTCAGTCTATTTGATTTGTGTACTGTATTCCTTTACCTGGAAACACTTGGGGAAGGATTTGCTACTTAGAGTGGTTGTCCTTGTTGTTCATTCTGGTTCTGTTTCTTTAGTTCCCTAAGTGCTGGGAAGAAGTAGTCAAACCCATTCTTGAACTGCATAAAAAGTTGCAGTTATAAATGCCCAGTATATTCCATAATGCATTTTCCTCAGTGTTCAACTCTCACTACTTTTATACCACCAAATTTTCAAGCTACTGTGATAAAATCATGACTCTCATCACTTATGCTTTCCATTTTCTAGCTAAGCTGTATAATTAGTTACTATTTTATTGATATTATACATCTATATTAAACCTTATTAGACTGTTATAAAATGTTTTATTTGTGCAAACTAAATGTTTCTGTCTAATAGATAGTTTGAGAATTTGAGTAGTAGGCTTCAAGGGATGGCTAGTGGTTAAGAGCACTTCCTGCTCTTACAAGGACCCAGTACCCATGATGATTAGCTTAAAACCTCCTTCAACTCCAGCTCCATGGAAACAAAAACCTCTGGCATTCATGAGCAACAGGACATACTTTTATATATAAGCACATATATGAACATACATACACATAAATGAAAATAATACATATCCTTAAGAAAAAGCATTTGAGTGCTATGATTTCATGTAATTCTG